GCGACGAAGAATTATTACACTACTTGTAACAATAAATTGCCTCGTTGTAATAAAGCTAGAAATGATTTATATTCTCTTAGCATTGTTATTATTTCCTAGGTTATGCAGTAATAGAAGGGTGAATATTGTATGTTTTACGCTTAAACAAACGAAGAGTGCACCAAAAAAGCCGCGTATGCACTAAGTTCATATATATTGCGGTTCTGTAAGTTAGACGTTTTTTCAATTGTTTCTTTTTCGCAAGTCAACTTTTGCTGGCCAGCTGTGATGTCCCATTCGGAAGCGCTTCCATTTATTTTAAATAAGTTGAGCACTTGCGTCTAGTTCACCGTGACGCGAGTTGCTAGCTTACAAGGTTATGATTTTTTTCTCTGTGTGAAATAAATGCTTACAGTCATTTGGCCCTTCTTTGTAAGTTGACTTCCAAAGTGAATATGCTACTTGCTCAAAAAACGTTTTCGCTAGTGATTAGACAAACGTACGGGATGACTAGGTCAGAATTAACTAATAATTGCCAAGTAAACACTTTCCACACAATATACACGATTTCATGAGATGTTCCTCACTAATGTCATAAATCGCTTTTCGAAATAAAATCTTTTAGGGGTAAACATTTTTAAACACTAGAATAAGGAGAACGTAAGCAACATTCTCCCTATGTCCTATACCTGCAACTCTACTCATTTAATAAACTGGTCTGAATCATACGCCACGTCTCGTAACTTAACGTCAACACGCCAATACAAACGCCCTGTTTGTTTTTTTATATCGTTTTGTTATGTGTTTGAGTTCTCCCTATAATTTTTGTACGCAGTATCCCTATTCATGGCCAGTGCATACCCTGGGTAGCCCAGAAGTCGTCATGTAAAGACCAATTTGGCTCGATCAATCAATATTTTTCGTCGACAGATGCGAAGTGTTATATTAATCATGGCAGCATTAATCAAATTACAGTGCGACTTCGTAACATTTGATAGCTATGCTCATCGATATCTTTCTATTGTCGTCAGCGTTGAGGTTCTCTGGTTTGCTCACCACCATCGATAAAGAGATTTTGTCGACGTTGTTTGAGTCTTGCTGCATGCCGCTTTGGGGCTTTTCAGACACTGACTACATCGCACGGTCTGTAAGGCCGCAACTTTTGTGGCTTCGTAAACTGCCGAGGCAGAATCGGCAAACCTTATTAGGATAATTAGATCTCTCTGCCTGCGGCAAAGATTAACGTTGCATCTTCATGGTAGAGTCATGCGGCGTCTTTTTCACTTTAATTATTTTCCCGGATTTTTTTCTTTCTTCTAGGACTGCTGATTAAATGTGCTTTTTCGGTTTTGAAGCTTAGTACTTGCCATAAATATCTGAAACAGGCTCTTGCATGATTGCCTAATTTCGAAGTTCCTGAGTTTAGCATCTGACATCATGCCGATTACGACCGTGTCAGATTGGAATTTAGGGAGTTGTTTTATAATGGTACCTTTGTGATTCAAAAATTACTAGCCGGAATTGTTCGTCTAACTGGTTGTGGTGGTCAATAAGAGGCCTTTGCGGCGTCGTTCATCTAGAAATCGCGACATTCACCCTTGCGCATTCTTTATACTTTAGTTTTTTCGTATAATGCCACCGAAACGTAGGTAGCGCTATCGATGATATTTTTTTAGTTATAAATATATTTATTTAGTTCTGCTAATAAGATAGCATGCTACCTTAGACGTTGTCATTTAATGATGAAATACAAATCGAGCTTTGTCGTCGTCAGGTGCACTTATAAGGACAAGTAGAACGTTTTAGGTCCTATAGCAAATCTAATTTCTCCTAATTTTGGCCTACGGTGCGTAATAAGGAGTAAAGTAACCTACCACATCACCGCGTTCTCTACTGAACCTCTACAGCGTGTTCACAATAACTGTTAAGCAAGGTAGTGGTATAAGATGACATTAATTGATTGTTACTTGGAGATTTCGCCGGTTAATCTAGCCCGCTGGTGCCTTTACGTGTCGAGTTTTACGTCCGATGTTGTCTTTAAGTATTCCATTAGACGGCTGGCTCCCAGCATGAAACGAATTCTGCCTATTCTATGTATACTCTACTGGTTTTTATCACGACAGAAACTGGCAGGTCAATTCACAGATCGTAATCGCCACTCATACATAGGGCATTCCATGCTGTTGTTTCATAGCTGCTGCGTACATTAATTTGCAAACAGCAGAAGTAAATACGAAGACCAGAAGACAGAAGAACGCGCTTTCAGCGTTAGGATATCCGGTACAGAACGATGATGGCGATCTGGGAAAAGAGCAGCAAATACTTACGGTTAGCATTATAATTGAAAACCAATAGATGTCGCCTACGTGTAACCTAGCGGTGGACAGGTTCTTCCCGCACGAATATGTAATGCGTCATATCAACTATGTGCGGCTGCACGGATTTGAATGCGTTAGCGTGCGTGGTAGCTTTTAATGGCAAGCCGCCTCAGCAAGATAGAAAAAAGCTTTCGTCAGTTTCATGGCCAGCCATTAAGATGCATCGAAGTACCTACGGACAACACATGTTCAAATATGCGGGTGCGTTTGGTCTGGCTCCTGGTTAGACGGCTATTTATAAGCAGCTTTTGGGGTCTTTATTGTTTCCTTTTTGGAAGGTTGCAGTAGGCGATTACCGAAGGCTGAAACGAGGTTTTACATGAGACCTAGAGAAAAACGTCGCCAGTATTTGAGGAACATTGAGGGCTACTGTTGAGTGATCGATGTCTGCGGTATTGTTTACTCATATTGCTAAAGTAAGTCATATAGCTAGAAAATTGATGATGTGACGTAAGGATTAAGGTGGTTGGCATCTTGTTTATGAAGAATACTGAATGGACGAAAGAGACAAAGTGATTGGTGTCCTTGAGTTAACCTGCTAACGATGCTAACTGGTAGTTGAGGTTACAGAGTATCTTCGCATGTATCCGGCACAGCATAGATATAGGTCGGCAGCTTCCAAAATAGGAGCATATGATGAGATGCCTTGGGAAATACGCGGCTGATGGTGTTATTTCTTGTGAGTGCCTCTAACACTCGGCCCCTTAATTGCTGATCACAAATGAAGCTTTTCTATATTATTTATCGTCCTGGATGCTCCAGGAAAGCTCTACTGTGTCATCGACACGCTGCACACTACAGCTAGCCCATCTAACGTAAGTTAGTCCTGCCCGGAAAGAGGACGACACTTAATGGTGCCATAAGTTTATTCATTTAAGAGCCACAATGTCAGGTAGACAAATCCGCGTAGTATATGTCTTGTCGGCCGCTGCGTCCTTTGCCATCAATTACAGACTACTGGCTTTGCGACAGTTTATTCTTGAAATAACTGGATATATATACACAGGACATTGTAGACGAGGTAGCTGACAACTAATATAGGTTGTATGTTCTACATGTCACGCCGCTTAGCACCATATCAGGGACAGCGTGACTTGAACCGTACAATCGACAGGTTTGGAATGGATTCACGACGCTTGACATCAATGAGAAGCTTCGCACAACTGAATTTCTGAAAGATTAAATAGCGAAAACAAGGCTGTGTGCCTCATAACAAGCAAGGATTGATAGCGGCGTTAACTACTAAACGACATTTAGTAAACAGTTACGACTTCTTGGTTGCCAAGACAAACGTGTAGATATTACAATGCGTAACTCTCATACGATTTGAAAAAGGGGGAAACGAGAGGGGGGAGGGGGAATCGAACGTCAAGTGCGCTAACAAGTAATCCTGCAGTCAACAAGAAATAGGCTTTTAGCTTGAAAAAAGTAAGTTTGCATTTTTCTTATTTAAATGGGTACTGTACCAACCGTAAGTCTGTTTTGTTCCTAGACAGGATTATGTACGTATCCTAATATATCTTACTTTATAGTAATCCTAGTTTTGTTTCCAACCTCTCAACCCTTTGTATGAGTAGCTTATACGTACTTGTGATACATGACATAAAAGCAGACTAAAGGGAAGTTGTCCTCATGATGAGGTAACCCTCAGTTGTCATTAAGTAAATTGAGTAGGGGATTAATGAGAGGCGTACTTCAGGTCTAGAATAGTTCTTGAAACTCAATACATGCAGATATATATCGGCTTTATTTTGCGTGAAAAGTGTTTCTTCTAAGGGTCAAGGGAAATGCTAGAAGCTGCTGCCCGATCGAGTCGCATATGGTGGCCCTCCTATTACGGACGGCGATAGCCTATCCATTGTAAAAGAAGAATAAAATGATTAAAAGAACGACGCAATCCCACATTGCTCGAGGTGCTACCATGGTGGAACTAATGCAGGACCTTTATATAAAAAAGGACCCAATTACCGAACTAAAGATGAGGATGACTGATGGTTATATCCAAAAGAAAGTCACCCAGCTACCAACCAAAAACATGGTTCCTTAAACGGCTCAAGAAGGAGAAGATTCTGTGAGAGCAATACAGAAGGGAGCACGAAAAGAAACTTAATATGCAAGTATCTGCAAAATATATTAGAGTAGTGAGTACTACCAAAAAATTTTATGGCTTAATCGCGTCATGCAAAACAAACAAGGATATCGTTAATTCTGTAGATATGGAATGGCCGGAGTGTGCTGACATAGACAAAATCTGAATGAAAACAAGGCTAGCAAAAGGGGGCCTTCGGCAACTCGTAACCAGAGAAGACAACGCGATTGACCCAATTCGACGGATTAAATAGCGAATTCCAGAAGAAAGTATTTAGGGTAACTCTTAGAGCAATGAACAAGACAGGTGATGATCAATTTTTGGCTTTCTTGAACCTTGGTTATTATTCTCCTGTTAAAGGTAGAGTCGAAGGCACTAGATTGTAACCTTAGTGAGGAAGTCCTTAAAGAAGGAATAAGCTGCAA